GCCAATATTATTGCTGAACCATAACCTCCATCAAAATTTGATTCCCGCGTTCGTATCCCTACCATATTACTAACATGGGAAGGATACGAGCGCAGGATGATGGAAGTTAAAGTTCAGTGGTATTATTAAAGCGTAAAGGTTGAGGATTGTCTTCGACGCTGTTGGCTTCAATTATATAATCAAAAACCTACAGTGCAGACTCCATATAGCCCGAGTCAGGGACCGGGTCCCTGACTTCGTGAGTCCTAGCTGTTTCTAAATTTTTCTCCGAATTGACCGACATAATATTACCATTTTTGAACTTTCAAAGCTTATTTGCTATCAAGAACTGGTTTATAGTCTTCGTACCAAATTTCAGATGGAAAAAATTAAAATTAAAAAATGGTATGGGTCACCGTCCTGGGTCACTCAAGTTAAAATTTGCTCACTTTTAGCTTCATATCCTTTCATGAGAAGCCATTAGGTATGACCGTGCCGGATTTAATGTTTTTAAAGTAATTTCTAAAAATCGGTATGGGTCACCCCATAGGGTCGCTCCAGATAAGAATTTTACCAATTTCATGCCATATTCTTCCATTATGACCCATTAGCAACCTCTCTACCAAATTTCACCTTGTTATGACGATTTTGAAAAATCAGTGTGGGTCACCCCATCGGGTCCCTCAAGATGAAAATTTTTCCAACTTGAAGTCATTTTTATCTATTAGGAGCCATTAGCTACCTATGTACACAATTTCAGCCTTCTATGACAATTTTGAAACTTGGTGCATAATACCCCACCCACCTAGATGACCCCCACCGGTTAACCACTTGACCGATTTCGCCCATCTTCGAACTCGTTTCCTAACTTTGTCCAATATGCATATGGTAAAAATTTCAAGTCAATCGGTTAAGCCATTTTGGCTCTATCGTGCCGGACAGACGGACATGACGGTTAAATAAGCCCTGACTCGGGCTAAAAAATCGTAAATATTTTGCTAGGTACATAATTATGTATATCAAGCAAAATATGGGTATGTATATGTTAGGAAATTTTATGACCACGATTGAAGCAAATGTATATACTTTATTGCTAGTACATTCTTAATAATAAGGTTCCCCTTTTGAAATCCAAACGCACTCAGAATTCTACATGCATAAATAAGTATGTAAGCTATCCCATTATTTTTAAGAATATACATAAATACATATTTATGTACACAGGCTTGGCTTGGTTTCCATTTTAATGTATGCAGAATTTGTCTACTTGCTTAAATATTCTGTTATAGCACATGATTTTATAAATTGATAAAAAAATAACCCCCTATTTGACGAAGTGGAACAAGTTCATATGCATAAACGTGCCCACCTTATCTTCCCTACATACAGTAATAAATAGGTAATTGTATATCGTCGTACTAATTCATAAAAGACCTAAGTGCAGTCGATGTTTAATTCAGAAACGACCGAAGTGCAGTCGATACTTAATTCAGAAAAGACCTAAGTGCACAGAAAAATAGCAAGAAAAGACCTATGTGCACGTATGTATTTACTTATGGCTAAATCGCGCGACATATGAAGATTCGTTTTGGCAAGATATAGCCATAAGTAAATACATACTTGCACATAGGTCTTTTCTTGCTATTTTTCTGTGCACTTAGGTCTTTTCTGAATTCACCATCGACTGCACTTCGGTCGTTTCTGAATTAAGCATCGACTGTACTTAGGTCTTTTATGAATTAGTACGACGATATGTTCTGTTATTGCATTCAAACAGGAAGCGTCAATATGAATATTCAAGCACATCCTGCAATTTTGTTTGGCCAAAGTCCGTCCTCTATTATAAACGAAAAGTCAGTAGAGAAAAGTGTGCAAAGTCGGCGGCACGTGAAGATTAAAAAATAAAACAACTTGGCAAAATGTACTCTGAAAATTTTTACAAAATATTTCACCTGGAATTTCTCCTTGCGTCTGGCATAGGCGTTTGCAGTTTCCAGTTCAACCGTAGAACAAGACTGCTCTACGCCACGCCTGCTTTGAAGAGGAGATGCCTCCTAAGTTCTACATTTACCGCGTTCCACATTTTCTTCCATGCCGGATCAACGCTTCAAATGGTCATGTACGGAGGTGATTCGGACTCGCACTTTTACATCAGGTACATTTACACGATCGTTTCCGTGCTGGAATTTTGTGGGGTTGTTATCGTTAAATGGAATGAAGACGATATTCTGCACGTGATTAATCAACTCATGCGGTACATCGTAAACTTTTACGGTAACAAGGCTAAACTTTTAACAATGCCACTTTTGAAAAGTGGATGCACTATTAATTTTATTTCAGGTACACCTAAGCGTGTGCTAAGTACAATTTGAGGCGTTACTAAATGCGGTTAAATCTTGGTCAAGGTCCTAAGGATTTAGTGTAGTTTATTCAATTTTGATGTTGGAGTGCATTTACTTTTCTATAAGGTGACATATTTCTAAGGGAGAAAGCAGAATTTCCATCACGATTTCTAATTTAACCATGATAATTTTCTTCCTGTAGGCAAATGGATGCCTAACTACGATCCGACGAAAGACTTCGTCTCCATCATGACCACAATTATTTGCTTCCTCCTCTTAATTGGGCCAAGTGTGGCGATCCCTTTGGCCCCCTTGTTCTTCCTCCTGTTCCCCTCGTCCCCTGCTCACATCTACTCGCTCGTTCCAAGCAATTCCTCAGATATTGTGAAGTGGGCAGTATTCATTTTGAACGTGGCGGACTCCACGCTGATTTCCACACTGGTGTGGTACGCGCTTATGATCTTCATCACTGCAGCCGTCGTATACTTTTGTAAGTATTAGGGAGCTTGCGAGTTAGGGCAAAGACTCAAAATTTTGACGCAAACGCTAAATTTAGCGTCACAGTTAACGTTAGGTCTGCAAAATTTATGTGCGGATTAAGGTTATAGAAGATTTCCTCCAAATTGCGTCTATCTTAACACTTACTAAAATCTTGAAGATTTAAGCAAAATCAGAACCATATGCTTCTGCAAAATGTAGTTTTTAGCGTAAAACCTCAAACAAATTATCCCCAAACTGAATTAAAGTTAACGAGAAATGGGCGTCGCCCAACGTTGGCGGGCACCACAATTTAATTTATTGCTACGTTAAATTTTAAGTTTAATGCTCTAAATTGTCAACCTCCGTATTCATTGGTTAGCTAAAATTCATGGCATATTTTACGCAAAACTAAATTAATTCTTAGTTTCAGCGTATTGTAGACCGAGTATCTTATTTCCCCAGCTTTTTGAACCTCCCTCTCTTAAAAATATTACGTCATTTTTGTGTGTGCGTGCCTTTCACCTTTTTTATGTGAGAGGAAATACTCTCTTTCCAGCCTTTGATTGAGAAGCATTGCTGTTCGATTAATTTTGTATGAGTGTCGACAATAAATTAGTTTCGTCATTATTTCGGTTATAATTAAGGACGGTCTCACCACCAAGCTGACAAGACTGATCGAGGTCAAGGAGCAGATTCAGGAACTGGATCAGAAGGTTTTGGACATGATGCTGGACGAGAAAACTCCAGAGCTACAATATGACGAAGAATTTGCTAGTATTGAAGAGTACAGAGAAAAAGTGATAGCAATTCAACTGAAAGTAGAAAGAAAATTCGGTCCGCGGTCAGGTTCACCCAGTCCTACGAATTCCAGCTACAGCACAGCCTCTAGTGGGAGAGCAAAAAGAAATTACAAACTTCCCAAAATTGAATTGATGAAGTTTGATGGAGAGTTGAGAAATTGGTTGGAGTGGTGGGGCCAGTTTGCCAAAATCCATGAGGATCCAGATCTGCACGCGACGGACAAATTTCACTACCTGTCCCAGTCAATGGTCAGCGGGTCCAGGGCTGCAGATCTTGTCAAGAGCTTCCCAAAAACAGACGACAACTACCCTAAAGCGGTAGAATCATTAAAGGAGCGTTTTGGGAAGGATGACATCCTCGTCGACATGTATATGTTCAAAATAAGGGTTTAGCTCATCTGCTCAACGAGTACATTTAGCGACTACTTTATTTAAGATCAAGTCATGTCGTATATAAGCAAGTACAATTAATGCATTCATAATGCATGCATAACCTAGCAGGTTAATAAACTGATGCAAATCCACCCATAATAGTTGGTGGTCTAATATTTGATGCTATGCACATAATTGACATACATCATTGGCAGATCATATCATGATTATTTTTAACAGTATACTCGACAGTTGGCAGAATTACTCCTCAGCAAGGATAAGCCGCCTCTCGCCAAATTCTACGACAGTTTACAAACTCAGTTGCAAGCGCTACAATCATTAGGAGTGAAGTCCGAGCGCGACACGCTGTTCCTGCGCCCGCTAATAGAAACGAGTTTACCCAAGGAAATTCTGACTGCATGGTATCGATCACCTTTATCAGAAGAGGATGGATCAAAGTTGCAACCGGTCAAGACCAAGTTGGATTTCCTCATGCAATTCCTGAGAAACGAAGTGGAGAGAGAAGGGAAACTCAAATTGGCGTATGGAGTTCGTGACAAGAAGACGACACATGTTGAGAGGCAACAAGCGCCCCACGATGACCTGCCCACCGCCGCCGGTCTATTCGCTGGGATGACAATCTCGTGTTGTTTTTGTGGAAAGGGTCATGCTTCTCAAGATTGCATCAAAGCACAGTCAATGACTGAAGAGGAGAAGAAGGCCAAAATTAAAGAGAAGAAAGCTTGTTATCAATGCTTAAGACCTGGTCATCCAGCTAATAAGTGCAGAACGCCAATTCGATGTCCAATCTGCACAAAGAAACACTACGCTGTGATGTGTCCAGATTCAGGAAACAAGCCAAGAACGAATCCAGACCAGCAACGACGTCTACCAGAGGGACCGCCAAATCAACAATTTGTGTCCATGTGGAATCAATCATCTGGTGGAGTGCTACTGGGAACAGTTTTAGTGCGGCTAAATGGACGGGCACGAAAGGGTGGTCCGACTAATTTATGATACCGGAAGTATGCAGTCATCAATCAAAGCGGAAACAGCAGCAAAATTCGGGTTTCATAAGGTTGGGGAGGAGTTTCGTCGTTCAGTCCTATATGGAGGAGTCGTGACCCCACCTCGAATGTTTTCAAAATATGAAGTCCATGTCAACTCCTTGGATGGGAGGGTGAAGAAGATGCTGACCCTAGTTGATGAGCCGAGAATCTGCGGATCTATCCCTCGTGTACCAATCGGCCCGTGGATAAATCAATTACAAGAAAAGAATATTTGGTTTAATGACTTCCGGTCGGATAGTGAAGAAATCGAGATTTTAGTTGGGAATGACCACTATCAACAATTGCTCACCCGAAGGAGGATCACACTAACATGCGGGTTGACTGCGGTCGAGACAGTGTTCGGGTGGACTTTAAATGGACGGGTACCTGAGGATGCCATGCAATTTCAAGATGTTAATTCTGCCCGTTTAATGGTTTCCATGACTTTATCCCATGCCAATGTCCAAGATTTATGGGAATTGGACACCATTGGTATTCGAGACCCAACAGAGAGCAAAACTAAAGAGAAAAGGGATCTCGACGCATTGAAACAGTTCTCCGAAACCGTGACGCGCAAAGAAGATGGTAGATACAGTGTGACTTTGCCGTGGGTGCATGGGGTGCAAAATATCCCTAATAATTACAGTGTTGCCGAGAAGAGGTTGCAATTCACCACACAGAAGTTATTAAAAGACGGCGTGTATGAAGAATATGATGGGATTTTCAAGGCCTGGGAGGAAGAAGGGATCATTCAAGAAGTGAAGGACGATTCAAAATTGTGCCATTACCTTCCTCACCGTCATGTACTGAAACCGGAAAGTCAAACCACTCCAGTCAGACCAGTCTTTGACGCCTCATGCAAGACTGGGAGGAACCCTTCATTGAATGACTGCTTGGAGAAAGGCCCGAATCTGCTGGAGCTCATCCCCTCAATACTGATGAGATTTCGAGAGAAGAATGTGGGGGTGATATCCGATATCCGGAAGGCTTTCCAGATGATCGACGTGCAAGACCGCGATTGTGACTTTTTGAGATTCTTGTGGTGGACATCTTCAGAGGAGAAAACCATCAAAATATATCGTCATCATCGTGTGGTTTTTGGCGTCAATTGTAGTCCCTTCTTGTTGGGTGCGGTGATTAATAAGCATTTGGATTCAGCCGCCCCGGATCAACAACGGATGGCGATGCAATTGAAGAATTCTCTTTACGTCGACAATTGTGTGACCTCTGTCAACTCAATGGCAGAGTACGAGCGTTTCAAGTTGTGCTCTACAAACCTGCTGGCTGAAGCGAAGATGGAATTACGCCAGTGGGAATTTGGTTTTGTGGAGGAATTTGGAGTTGGTGTCAACTATAGTTTGGATTCTCAAGGGCTCAACTCTCCTCAAAATCAAGATACGGCCGTGCTGGGTCTCAAGTGGAATAAGCGGAGAGATACGCTTCGATGTGTCATCACTGCCGCTGAGAACTTGGAGAAGATAACCAAGCGGATCCTATTATCGCAAATTCAGAAAACTTTCGATCCTTTGGGCTTCTTATCACCAGCACTACTCATCCCAAAATTATTAATGCAAGAATGTTGGACTAAGAAAATTGGTTGGGATGAAGAATTACCAGATCAAATTCGAGTGCGTTACTTGGATTGGATGAAGAATTATGGTCTCCTATCGGATGTTGAAATACGGAGGCAGGCAGGATCAATCATTGTGGACGCTGCCCCCAGATCACGACAAGAACTCCACGTCTTTTGTGATGCCAGCACTCATGCGTATGCGGCAGTGGTCTTCTTGAGGGAGGTGAACGAAAGGGGAATTACGGTGTCAATCCTGCAATCCAAAACAAGACTCGCGCCCATCAAAACCGTTACGATTCCGCGGCTGGAATTACTGGCCTGCACGGTGGGAGCACGACTTGCTCAATCAGTAATTAAAGCGATGCGTTCAGACCTCCCCACATTCTACTGGAGTGACTCAACGACGGCACTGGCGTGGATAAGTCGGAATAACGAGTGGGGGACATTTGTCGGAAACAGGGTAAAAGAGATTTGCCAATTAAGTAACCCTGATGATTGGCGACACGTTCCCGGGATTTATAATCCAGCCGACTTACCATCCAGAGGATGTGATCCTGTCAAATTTTTGGAGTCTCGATGGTGGGAGGGACCAGCCTGGTTGAAGCAGTCGTCAGATCAATGGCCGTCGGAAAATATGAAATACGATGAAGAAACAATTCATGTGGAAGAGAGAAAGTCAGCAGCGGTGGCCAAATTATTAAATGAAGTCCAGAATCCTTGGTTCACCCCTTTCTCCACTTATCAGAAGAACATTCATTTCATTGCATGGATGACTCGCTTTGTCAAATATCTGCAAAAATTACAGTACCATAAGGGACATTTGACTGGGAGTGAGATTTTGGATGCGGAGAAGAAGATATGGAAATTGGTGCAGAATGATGTCTTCCCCAAAGTTTCAAAATTCATGCATGGAGTCAATGTGGATTTGGATGGAGATGGTCTGCTACGAGTGAGGACAAGATTACTGAATCGTAGTGACATGGAAGATTTCAAGAGACCAATCCTCCTTCCGAAGAAACATCAACTTGTGGAGCAATTGATCATCAGTGAGCATCGCATCAATTGTCATGCTGGGACACAACTGCTCACCGGAATAATTCGTGAAAGATTTTGGATTCTGCAAGCGAGAAGAAGTATTCGTTCGGTGATTGCAAAATGTGTCCAATATCGCCGGTTGAAAGTGAAGAATTTAGAAGTCGAGCCTGCAGCTTTACCGGAGGACAGAGTCAAGAACGCAAAAGTATTTGAAGTAATCGGAGTGGACCTAGCTGGACCGCTGTATCTCAAGGACAATAACAAGTGTGGATCGTATTGTTCACCTGCGCAGTATATCGATGCCTGCACTTGGAATTAGTGTCGTCCTTAAGCACGGAGGCATTCCTTGACGCATTCAGCCGGTTTTGTTCCCGTCGTGGCCGCCCGTCCATTGTCTACAGTGACAATGGCACCAATTTTGTGGGGGCCGACAATGCCTTCAAAAGAATGGACTGGAACAAGATAGCGTCGACAGTCCAGTTAAACCGAATTCAATGGAAGTTTAACCCTCCCTCAGCCGCCTGGTGGGGCGGTTTCTGGGAACGTATGGTCAGGACTATGAAGGAGTTGTTAAGAAGAACTTTGGGAAAATCGACCCTGACCTATGACAAACTACACACCCTAATTTGTGAAGTGGAAGGCGTGATCAACCGCAGACCATTGACTGCTCTGAGTGACAGTGCAGATGACCTTTCACCCCTTACGCCATCATTGTTTCTGGACGAGATGCCTTGCCCTGATTACAACGAGTTTCTTGATGCAAGTGGATTTCAAGCAATCAATAAGAAGAGGAAATCACTTTTGGAGCAAATCAAGATGAGATTTCGCAAGGAGTATTTAGCCATGCTCGTCCAGCGACAAAAAGAGAAGAAGACAGTTGAGGTCGCTGTGGGTGACGTCGTCCTTGTTGGATCAGACAACCAGAAACGGTGGGAGTGGCCGATGGCAAGAATTTTGGAGCTCATTCCGGGTAAAGATGGAGAAGTAAGAGTGGCGAAGGTAAAAACTGCTCATGGGATTCTTTTTCGCCCACTGCAACGATTATTTCCAATGGAGGTGACCACGGCTGAACCTATTCTTAAAATGGAACCCAAGACGCCGATCCGAGAAGATGGCCAAGTATCACAACCCAGCTCATCACCGGAAGTTTTCATCACGCGTTTTGGACGTCAAGTGAAAGTGCCAGATAGATTTTAAGGGATTTATTTAAGTTTATATGCATTTTTTAATTTTGTCTATTGTTCTTTTGTTCAGTTTTTCACAAAAGAGGTGGGAGGATATTGTAGACCGAGTATCTTATTTCCCCAGCTTTTTGAACCTCCCTCTCTTAAAAATATTACGTCATTTTTGTGTGTGCGTGCCTTTCACCTTTTTTATGTGAGAGGAAATACTCTCTTTCCAGCCTTTGATTGAGAAGCATTGCTGTTCGATTAATTTTGTATGAGTGTCGACAATAAATTAGTTTCGTCAGTATTTCGGTTATAATTACACTGGTCTCGAACTGTTTATTGGAGCTCAGCGGAAGAAGCCCGTTTTAATCGAATATTTAATTTAATAAGTACATACATACTCTTATCTCATCCTCGGCACGTTAATACGAAAGGAATCATTAGTACGGGTAGTCTTTTGTCATTCCTTCAAACAGCGTTTCTCCTGATTTGGCTGGAGTTTCGAGCTACTTGTGGTAAAAGGCTGAGGTACAGAACGAGTCCAGAGTTGCGCCACGTGGATAATTTGACCCAAGAGTACCGTTGCGTAGAACTGCTCCACACGGAATTCATGCGCACCGCAGGCCTCGTCTTTCTCGCCTTCCAATTCTGCATGGCCCAATTCTCACTCGTCTGCAACTACTCTGTCATCAACGAGTGGGAAAGGTTGGATTTCTTCACCGCGGTAAGAATGAAGAAATTTGAATAATGTTCCCAACCCCTTTTTCGCATATTCCCCTTCAATGTTAATTAACCCCTCGATTTTGTGTCCTTTAATGTTAATTGCCCGGTGAAATGTGTAAATAAGTACGTGGGACACTTCAGGGCATTAATACTACAGGATATGAGGTGGGCCATGTGGTACAATTAATTTCTTTTTGAAAATTCACGCACAAAAATTTGGCAGGGCCCCCTAAAGAAATTTGGCTTAATTTTCAGCAGAAAACTTTATGCAGAGCGATTTGTGCTGAAAACATTGTCGAGGTAGGCAAAACTATGCAGGATACAAAAAGCATCGGGCTTTATGGTTCCATTTTTAAATAAGAGATTTTTCTTCTATGCAAAGGTTTTGGCGGACAGTCTCTTAGTTACATAATTGATCATACCATAGTCGATTGCTGCAGAATTAGACACACATAAAGATCTACTCGGATTATCCTCATAAATCTCTGGAAGTTTTAAACCTAATATTTATGTACATGAATGGTCCCTTTTTTAGGGAATGCTTGTGTTGTTTGGAGTAACTCTGCAGACGATTTGGGCCATCGTGCTGGAGCTGGCGGGACGTTTCCATAGCCAATCGAAACGAACGTTAGGGTCCTGGAAGGCCTTGGACTTTAAGTCGGTGACAGAGAAGAAGTACATGTCCAAGTTTAGGAAGGGTTGCTACCCATTAGCGATCGGAGAACGGGGTCTGTTCATCGTCAAGAGGATTTCGGTTCTCAAGTTTTTAAGGGCCATTGTGAAAGGGACGTTCAGAGCGTTACTGACTATTGGCGGGACTGGGAAACATGCCTGAGTAAAAAGTAAATAGGACGCACAATGGGTGTAACTATATCAAATCAAGTTCATTCAATGTAAGTACGTAGAATGATATGACATCTTGCATGCAAGTAGATAGATGTTTGTCGACAAATGAGGGATCGACAACTCGTTTGTCGACCATCAATCCGGAACCCGGCCGATTAGTTTCCGAAATTAAGGAGTGCCTGAGTAGTGATTGGCACCAATGAAGAACATATTTTCGTCGAACAAGAATTTTGATAAATAAAAAGCAATCCGTAAACTCTACTTGGCACATTTTGGGTAGTTCAAAAAGTATTTAATAACGTTTCTAATTTTTGCCAGGTAAGTACGTATTTATGTATGTACATATTTATTTACAAGTAAATTTGGTGTAATTGTGTATATTACAGTATCCGTACACTTATCCGTTGGAGATGGTATATATAAATACCTTATTCCGTTTTCATGCATTGAAATTTGCATGTTAATCTGAAATACAGATATGATGTGATGTGCATATTTCTTACAATTATTCATTCAATTCATTAATGCAATTTCTTAGAAGGACGTAAATATATAGGTGTGTGTTGTGTTCCAATATGTATCTGTGCATATGTTTCAAGTAAAATTTTATGGACTCTTGCGCTACTCACATTTGGTTAGCATGAAATAAAATTTGTCCATTAAAAGAGCGGGGGCCAAGTTCCAATCGGTCCATCAAGTGGAATTTGTCGTAGTGCAGGAATTTCTTTTGTCAGTGGTGTGGAACTGTATAAGTACTAATAAATTTGTTGTGATTGTAGCCAAAATCTGAAATGATATTTTCATAATTCGCGATTAATGGATCGAACACAATTCATACTAAATGGAACCTTTATCAAGATACGCCTGGATTGAGTAGAAAATTTGTACAGATCTTTCCGTTGACTGGGTTGGAAATATGGAAGGCCAATGGTCACATGTCTGACCTGGTTTTCCCTGATTGAGGAAAATGCAAGCGATAATTAAGTTCAATTTTGAACTTTGCCGCTAATGTTTCTTTTAAATGGCCCATTGAACGGGAAGATGAGTGCTCTGTGATTCTTAATTTTGGTTTGTTTTTTGTGTAACTCTGGGAATTTCCAGTATATCATGAAAAAGGTTAAATGGTAGATAAATTACGAATAGTCTCTTATTTACAGGTGTGATGATTCCTAAATTAAAAGTCATGAATTTGGTCTTGATCTCAATTGCCTCGAGCTTTTGTTGTCTACAAATCTGCAAAACAATTATTCCTCAACGTGATTGTTTTTAGATCTATGCATCAAAATTACCTTGCAGTGGTTTAAATTCTTAAAATCTTCTAATTTTCCCAAATCGAATAAAATATCTTGACTTTCGGATTCCAACTCCGACCCCAGTCTGGCCACCATGTACAGCAAGTACAAGTAAACCACCATGGTAAAAAAGTTTTGCATAATTTGCGAAAAGTTGGGATTCTTGCGTGACATTATTGAGGCGATGAAATATCCAGAAAAGATAATTCGCAACACACTATGTCCAATATCCAAGGAAACCCAAGGACCAAACAATTTCCCAAATTCTGCGACCTGTTGCCTAACATTATTGTATAAATCGACGATGTCGTTGTGGTCCAAAGTTGATAGTAACTCGGAATCGGGATCATTATCCGGAAAATATCTTTCTAATCGGGGCTTTTTCCTTATCAAATTAGAATCGCCGCCGGGACGTCGGGATCCTGTATTTTTTAATTCCCTGACTGCAATGGCCCTTATTCTTTTCAAAACTTCCAAATACCAGATCAAAAAATACACCTGGAGAAATGCGAAGGCGGAATGATAATATCCCAGTACAACTGGACCAACCCGGAGAAATAATACTACCCCGGATATTGAGATTCTTGACACGGAAAAGTACATGTCGACACTCCAGTACGTAATTATTGCGAGGAAGATGGCAAATTCAATTTTGAACCGGGGATAATGCCGATTCTTATTTTTTGCTGGGTCAAATTTGCTTAACAGAAGAAAGAAATTTTTGTAAAATTTAACAAGTTTCTTGCCTTCGAATGCCATGTCGAGCTTGATGAATGTAGCGCAAATCATGTGAGACACAGATTTGACTATGAGGACGAAAAAATAGGTTCCCCGAGTTTTTAAGATGTTTATGATTTCGGAAGATGTACAGGATGAAGTGTTGTGGATAAAGCTTAGGAGGAGGAGAAGTGAGAAGGAAGTGAAAAGGAGGGTAGGCAGGTACTTTATGCGGACGGACGCGAGCGCTTTCTTGACTCTGGGGAAAGATGAGGTGTTTTTATGATTTGTAGAATTTTCTAATGACACGGGGACAAATCCCAAGACTTGAAAGAGGCGAAGGAAGAATATTTCCATGTTTCATGTAATTCGGGAAGTTAGTGAACCTGACCAGCGATATAAGAGGCAAGCAGATGTGCAATGAATTATCACAGTCGGTAAGAACACGTACATATGTAGATATGTATGTACGTATGTGTCTGCAACTTGAATGTCATGAGTAGATATCGATTAGTTTGGAAGAGAATGTCCGACGATTTTATTTTACGGTACATAATTACAAAGCAAGCATT